TATATTCTGTCCCCAGGCGAAGACCTGCCTGATACATTCATCACCTGAACCTGTGGCAAGTGATTTCCTCTGCCTTTATCATGTCACCTCCCAGCCCCGTGCCAGCATATGGTCTATTATGTGCAAATGATTAAACAGATTTTCTGCCATGGGTAAAAAATATATTTCCCACTGGATACAGAAAAGGCTCTGTAACTTTCTCCCAGAAGAGTGAGCCTAGAATTCTAAGTGACTCACTGAGACAGGTAGAAGACAAAGCCATTTTGCCGATGGGTCCATAACTTGTGTTTCTACCGGTATAAAAGAAAATGTATCCAGTGTCTGATTTCTCCTGAACAAAATGGAGGTCACAGGACCGCATTCAGAAATAATTATCTTAAACCTCAGAGATTTGTACATAATGTCCTTTTCCCCTGGGATGCCCTCTTCTTCCTGTTTACTCAGGTATCTTCCACACTTGCTGCAATGCTCAGTTCCTGTTACCTGTTCTGGGTAATGAAGATATGGACGGCACTCTCTCCCTTGGCTGAGTGAACAGTGTCTCCTGTGACTTTCAAAACTTCCAGGGCTTATCATTATCAAAACATTTATCACACTGCATTATAATTTTGCATTTACTTGTCTATTTTACAGACAAACACCCCATGTGTTCCCTGAGGGTTCTTTTTATCTCTCAAACTTCAGTGCCTAGCACACAGTAAATATTCAGTTAACAGTTGGATAATTCATCTCTGATTCAATACAATTTCTTTTTAAGTAGAATTTTAATATAACATTGCCAACACTCAAGAGTTTTTCCATTATTAAATATTTCTGAAACGCATATATTTGATATGTGATGCATAAACACACACATACAAACTACAGAAAAATACCCCAAAATGGTATAGCAATTCTAGAAGGTGGAGATATTTTCCTGTTTCTTTGATTTTGTTGAATTTACCTTAAGTTCAACAATAAACATACTACTTTCAACATTAAAAAGAAATAATAATCGACTTAAGGTATTTTATTCTGTTTAATGACAACAACCAGCTACGACAGAACACTAGTAGATATCTGTCTGAAGACATACTGTCTAGTAACTATATGACTTTTTGCAATTTTCTCAATCTCTTGGAGAGTCTGTTTCATCTGTAAAATCAACCAGATCAAATGAATTGTTAGGTAGATTAAATAATGCCACTCATATAAAATGCCTTCTGTAATACCTGATACAGAGCAGGTACTGAATTGAAGAAGGAAGTTAGTTGTGTTGCTGCTTCTAGAAATGAAGCTTATAGTCAGAATACAAAACTTTCTCTTTGGTAAAGATAGGGAAGCACCCGCTGCAAGTTACTAAGGTAGCTTGAATTTCTCAGCAGAACATGGAGCTGCCCCAGACCAGCTTCTACAGAGACAGCCATGGGATGAAGAATGACATCCTGGGACCCCAGGTGTGTGCGAGACCCTTGGTCAGAAGCACATATGCTGAGGACCTTGGCTAAACAGCTTCTGAAAGTTCATCCTCAATGTTCTTTATCTCTACTGAACAAAAGAAGTGTAATGCTGGGTATAAGTGGGAAGAGAGTAAGGTTCAAATGCCGTCCAATCTGAGTTTGAACCTCACACCTGGTACTGATTTACTTTGCAGAACCTTGGTCAAAACATTTTTTGGACCTAAGTTCCCCCAGAACTGTGAAAGAGAGTGATATGACCCGCCTTACAAAGTTCTCTCAAGAATTAGATACAAAGTATGAGGAGGCACATTACAGGTAGTCTAGAGTAGCTATTATTATCATTTCAGCCATGCGCAATGCAAGTATCTGAAAGGCCAGCCAGGTAACCTATATGGGGGAAGGAGGCCAAGTAGATCCTGAAGTAAAGAAGCCATTGCATGTCCATCTACATGAAGCAACCAGACAAATGTAGCCATCCTGGAATCCAGGGCAGATGGCCAGTGCTGCTTCTCTTTCAAAGAAAGGACAGAAATCTGGATTGTGTCAGGTATTAATTCAAGTTTTAAAATCAAGAAGTATTGTATACATTGAACAAATCCCTTGTGTGAGCAAGAACCAGCCCATGCATGGCTAGCTTGCAACCTAATTTAATCTCTAACTGGAGAAATTAAGAGGAAACAAATCTACTAAGACGAAACGAGACTGGACTGAAAATGTTCCACCCCAGATGGTTTCCTTGGCCCCATGGTCACCCGCTGGTCCCCTGCGCCTTTCTTGGACCCCACGCAGGGATGCAGCAGAAAGACTTCCTTACGCTCTGCCTTGGGAAGGGGTTGAAGCATCTCTGCAGCGATCTCTCCAGTGGCCGTCGTAGGGGAGAATCCTATCGATGTCATTATTCCTATTTAAGCAGATGTTTTCCACAATAGCTGGGGTTTTTTGTTTTGTTTTTTCAGGCAGGGTCTCCCAGGCTGGAGTGCAGTGGCACCATCTCAGCTTACCGCAGCCTTGAATTCCCTGGCTCAAGCGATCCTCCCAGCTCAGCCTTCTGAGTCGCTGGAACTACAGGTGCATGCCACCATGCCTGGCTAATTTTCCTATTTTTGGTAGAGACAACATTTCTCTATGTTGCCCAGACTGGTCACGACTTCCTGGGCTCAAGTGATACGCTTGCCTCAACCTTCCAGAGTGCTGGGATTACAGGCGTGAGCCACGGAGCCCTACCAATCGCTGTGCTTTAGAATCACCTGGAGAACTTTTTAAAAATTACCATTTCCCCGGCCCCTCCCAAAACCAATTTAATTAGAATATCTGGGGGTGGGGACTCCATGCTCCAGTAGTTTGCTAAAGCTCTTCAGATAATTCTAATGTGCAGTTATGGTTGAGAACTACTCTATCAAACCTTTGTTTGATGGAATTCCCCCTGCTGAAATGCAAAAAATCTTAGTGAAAGTAAAAAATAAAACTATTACTGGTCATTAATATTTCTAGAATGGATTAGTTTACGAGATAATTTTAAACCTGGCTGGGCAACTAGAGTGAGGAGAGGTTTTCAGAGTGTGAAGGCTCTGCCTATAGAAGATGAGAGGGACTAGGGAAGAGGGGTGAGGTTCTGAGTATCAGGGATCAGGACCAGGGATTCACAAGAACATATCACGGCCAAGTTCACACTTGAAGTTAGTTCACCCACTGTACTGGACGCAGTCTCCTAGGATGAATGAGAAATTTACCTCCTCACCCACTTTCAACCACACACAGGGCTGGAACCACAAGGCACTGCAGGATTATAGAGGAACCTAGAGGACATTAGGTGACATGAAATAAGACAAATACTGTATGATCTCACTGATAGGTGGAATATAACATCTTTGAACTCACACAAGCAGAGAATGGAATGGTGGTTGCCAAGGCATGGGAGGAGAGAAAATGAGAAGCTGCTGATCAAAGGGTACAAAGTTTGTTATGCAGGGTGAATACATTCTGGAGATGCAATCATATACAGCATGGCTATATGGTTAACAATATTGCACTGCATACTTGAAATTTGCTAAAAAGTTATCTCTTAACTGTTCTCATCACAAAAAAAAGAGAAAGAAAGACAAAGAATATGGTAACTATGTGAGGTGACAGGATGTTAATTAGCTTGATTGTTCTTCACAATATATATGTATATCAACATATCAGATGGTACACTTCAAGTATATTCAGTTTTTATTTGTCAATTATAACTGAATAAAGCTGGAGAAAAAAAAAAAACAAAAACAAAACCCCACCTGGTGGGGAAGGGGGACCCAACTTCTAATTCAATGCAAACACGCACAAAGGACACTCACTCACATAGCTGTTTCAAAACAAACAAACAAACAAAAAGTTGCCTTATAGGCAATGGCACATCCAAGTCAGATCTATGGGAAGTCCAAAGGACTAACAGCTGATGCTTGGGTTCCAGCCTCCTTCCTGTTCCTCAGTAACTAAGACAAATACAAATATAAGCCAGAGTGAGGGGAGAAGTGAAATCCTATTTGCATAGATGTTCTTAACTGAGAGCTCTCTGGCTTTCATAAAATAAGCAAAAGCCACCTCTGAGATTTATCCTACGCCATTCTGTTTTGCTGCTGCACTCAAATTGTCTGATGCTTCTCACCCGGCAGGGAAGCCCAATGGGGGACGCAGCAGTGCAGGCCTGATGTGAGGGAAGTGTGGGTGAGGGGTGAGCAGGAATGCCTCCCACCCACAGCTGTGCGAGGGCCAGCAGGAAACTTAAGATGATTTCAGGAGACACTGTGAGGGTCAGAGCCAGGCAAAGAGCCAAATGAATTGTCAAAGTGAGTGGAACCTCCTTTTGAGAATCAGAACCTGACGAATTGAGTAGAGGGACTGGGGACGCGAGGGAAGAGGGCAAGGGACCATAGGATCCAACAGGCAGGGGGACAGGTGGTATGGACGAGCATAAATGTGGACAGCGGAACTCCGAAGTGCTGAAAGTGACTTGCAGAGTGAGTGGGTCACATCACATTAACAGCCCTAAATGAAACAGACACAAATGACTAGCAGTTTCGATAAAAACAAGGAAAACTGTTTTTCTTTCTTTAAAATCTTTATTAAATCAAATTAAGTTGGATTCCTGTGGCTGTGATTTATTGCACTGGGAAAAGCCAGAACAACCAAACGACACATTTTCTTTCCCTCCTGGTAAGTAATTAGCCTCTGTCTTGCTAAAGGGCCTGTGAGTAGCCCTGACGAGGAGAAAGCAAATCCAGCTTCTCAGAAGTGCTGGGTTTTTGGCTTTACTCACTTTCTCCTTTCTTCTAGTCTACTGCCTCTTCTCAGGAAGATGGGAAAGGAGGACTGGATGTGGCAATGTGGCTGTCACTGATGCAAGATTGGAACCGGTGTGTTGAAGGAAAAAAGGGCACATCCCACCCACGGGGGAAGTTCTGCCTAATAATCAATAGTAACACATGGCCTAAATCACCTCTGTTAATCCTTGCAGCCACCCTGAAAACCCAGCACCAGTTTACAGGGAAAGAAACATAAACTTGCAGAGATTAAGCAACTCACCCAAGGCCAGGCAGGTCCAGGCAGGTCCAGGCAGGTCCTGGGGGCCACGATTTAAAACCAATTCTGTCTGCCTCTCCAGTCCATTCTGATGCCATTGCACAGTGCTTTAAAGTCGACTAGGGTGAGGTGGTATCTTTCATAGTGCCTGGAATAGAATAGATGTTTCATGAATGTTAAATTCCTCTCTCCTTCTCTTCTCAGTGATAATAACAGTTACTCAAATATCATATGTATATAATGCATGCATATTTGTTTTATAAAATTGGATATGTAGAAAAATAAGATGAAAATTAAAAGCACAGGTAATCCTATCACTCAGAAATAGCCACAGTTATATTTTTGGTTTATTTTCCTTGGACTAGAATGCATTAGTACACACATTCAATTTCATTTTACACAACTGGAGTTTGTATGCAGTGTGCCTTTTAAAACTTAACAAGGTACTAAATATATTTTGATACATGATTACACATCCTTTGAAACTGCGTACTATTCCACCATAGAGGTGTGCTATGATTTATGCTTGGACATTCTGATTAAAAGTCTGCATTAGGCCGACACTTTGGGAGGCTGAGGCAGACAGATCATGAGGTCAGGAGATCGAGATCATCCTGGCTAGCACAGTGAAACCCCATCTCTACTAAACAAAACACAAAAATTAGCCAGTCATGGTGGCGGGCACCTGTAGTCCCAGCTGTTTGGGAGGCTGAGGCAGGAGAATGGTGTGAACCCGGGAGGCGGAGCTTGCAGTGAACCGAGATCGCACCACTGCACTCCAGCCTGGGTGACAGAGAAAGATTCCGTCTCAAAAAAAAAAAAAAGCCTGCAATAAGCCATTTTATATATGCAAAGATATTATATGTATACAGATTGAGTACATCAGTGATTCCCAATCATGGATGATTCCCTCCACCAAAGTTCATTTAGTAATGTCTGGAGACATTTTTGGTCTTTACAACTTGGGGGATGCACCCATCATCCAGTGGGTAGAGGTCAGGGGTGCTGCTTAATGTCCCACAGTGCATAGGACAGTCCTCCACAAGATATAACTACATGGTGTGAAATGTCAATAGTGCTAAGGGTGGGAAACCCTGCAATAAACGAAGTCAATGTATGATAGTAATAAAAGCGATTGCAAGCATTCCTATAGTGGTTATTTCTCCAGAGTATAAACATATGTAGCTAAATTAATATTTTTCTCTTTGATTCCCTGATGCAGAAATTCTTCTCACTGTCTAAATGAAAGAAAATTCACAGAAACAGCCAATGGCTAGTCTCTTGTCAGAACATCAGAATAGAATCTGAGTCCCTTGAGTGTGCATGTGCTAACCATGTCTCCTCTAAGTTCCCTCCCTTCCCCAGAAACTAGGCTTCTGCTGAATCACTTACTCCTTTCAACCCCCACTTACTAACCTCTACTTTGATAGGTTAAAAAACATCCCAGGCTCCTTTGTGTTAGGGTATTGAATACACTTGTATGAAATTTGGAAGGCAGAAGGAGGCTGACATTTTCTCTCCCTCAGAAGAGCCATGGAACCACAGCAACGTGGAGGGAGAGCGCTCCATGAGTTGTCAGCAGCTTCGCGGGTGTAAAGTGGCGGCTGTGCCTTGGGTGGCAGCAGTGCCTGGGTGGTCTGGCATTGGCACTGCTAGTGGTGGCCTTCTGATTCCCAGCTCTCTTGCTGGGGAAGCGGCCGATGCTGCCACTTTGTCCTAGGAACCATTCCCATTCCTGGAGGCCAAGCCTAGAGGCACTCCTCCAATTCTTCCAACAATTTCATCAGCTCCTAATTCCCTGTTAAATTCCTGTTCATAATCCAAGTGATTTCTATTTCTACGACAGATCCTGGATCCATACACTCACCCTTAACCCAAAGCCCATCAGATCCTGATAGTGAGCACCTCTGTTAAAAGAGAACATGACTCAACGATGGCTCTTAGTGTGGCCCCCAGGCCAGCAGCATCAGCATCACCTGGAAACTTGCTATAAATGCAGATTCTCAGGTTCCACCCCAGACCAGCTAACTCTAGACCCAGAGTTCTGGGAGTGAGACCCAGAGATCTGTCTCTTCACAAATACTCCAGGTAATTGTGAGGCATAGTAAAGTTTGAAAAGTCATGGGTTAAAATAATATAAAAATATATTTTTTCTATCTGCTGTCTTAACTGTGTGCCTCACTCTTTTTGCGTAGACCACAAATGCAGAATCTATGATCACAAACAAGGAGTATGAGCTGAAGTTGACTGAATACATCTCCTGCTCTGGCTGAGGATGCATGGGAGTGGGAGGAAACTAACTGCTCACTCCAGAAGGACCTAAAGCAGGTCACACAGTCAAGGACACTTTTCTCTGCAGGCCCTCTGGATGGAAAAGAAAGGTCGACACCAAAAGTATGTGCTGGGAGGTACGTAAGGTTGAAGTCCAAAGGTCAAATCCAAATGTGATCAATGAGATACTCTGGTTGAACCACAGGAGCTGAGGCCCTGAACCAGAGGACCCAGGAAGGTGCAGAGTGAGCAGCAATAGGTAGAGTTGACCAGCACGTGGCCTAGAAGCTTTCTGGAAGGAAACCACAATTTTCTTCAACTATTTTTATCATGTTCCCAGGACCTGGGCTATTTGATGCAAGAGCTAAAATAGCAAGCAAGGTGGACATGGTCCCTGACTCCCCCACAAGGGCTTAGAATCTACTAGACAAGGCTGACAATTGAACAACTTGGCCAGCACCTCAGATTCTTCTTTCCAGCTTGCCACCAGGAAAGAAATAACTGTTCTCCAGTCAGTCAAGGGCAAAAAGAAAATCTCATTGGCCTAGCTTGGGTCACATGCCCACCTCTTAGAAGAATTAGTAGAGCCAGATGGGTAATCCAGCTTGGGTAACATGCCCACCCCTGTGGATAGGAGACAGAGAGGAGAGGGGTGACGCTTTCGCAGCCTGTCTGAGAAGCACAAGAATGAGGGGTGACTAAACCAGAGAAAGGGAAAGGGGCACTGGGGAAACGTTCACAATAGATAGACTCTGAACTCCTCACAAGCACCTGTGTTAATGCATCTGTCTTGCTTTGGAGATTTCAGAGCATGATGACTCTCTCTGAATTCAGATAGGACTTGACCCCTTGAAACCTTTAATTCTCTACTTTTTTTGAAAGTTAAATAAGGCCGGGCATGGTGACTCACGCCTGTAATCCCAGCACTTTGGGAGGCCGAGGCAGGCGGATCATGAGGTCAAGAGATCGAGACCATCCTGGCCAACACAGTGAAACCCCATCTCTACTAAAATACAAAAATTTAACCGGGCGTGCCTGTAGTCCCAGCTACTTAGGAGGCTCAGGTAGAGGAATTGCTTGAACCCGGGACGCAGAGGGTGCAGTGAGCCGAGATTGCACCACTGCACTCCAGTCTGGCAACAGAGAAAGACTCCATCTCAAAAAAAAAAAAAAAAAATGAAAGAAAAAGAAAGCTAAATAAGATAAAATGTCTGATAGCAGCAAACTGGGGCACCAAATGCAATGATTTTTCCATTTGCATTCTAATGTTTTTCACCTCCTCGAAAACAAGTGTCCTAAGGTGGTGTTGGGCCATGCAGAACAAGATGATTTCAGTTTAGGCACTGAGAAGCATGTAGAGGATGGCAGCTCTAATGTCTGAAGGTAGCCCCTAGAAACCCAGCCCAGTGGAAATCTGAGTACTAACAATGATAAAAAATGATGCTAATAACAATAATAACAACAGCAAGAGAGAGCCCTTGGCTCTTACATTATACCAGAAACTGTTCTAAGGGCTTTGCATTCATAAACTAATTTAATCTCTACAGCAGCCCTACAAGGTAAGTACCAGAGTATCATTCCCCAAGTGAGTTTAAGTAACTTGCCCAAAGTAAGTGATCCAGATCCAGGCAGTCTCACTTCAGAACTCACACTTTTCAGCACTATACTACACTCCATGGCATAAAATCATCTGGAATTATTAGTGTGAACCTGAATTTACCTAATGGTGGGGTTGTTGTTGTAATTAAGAATTTAGAAAGCAATAAAAAAAGGCCTCCTCCCTGTCCGACGCGTAGTCATAGATGCCAACTTTCAACTGGAGCAATGTCAGTAGCCAGAAGCAGATGATGGAGTTCTTAAACAGGACACACAATGCATATATTATAAGAAAAACAGCAATAAATTTAACTACATCAAAATGTAAAACTTCTACATAATCAACGACATTATAAACAAAATTCAAAGACAAGTCACAAACCAGGAAAATCATGGTGAATGCTCACAACCAACAAAGGATTAAAAACCTGAATATTTTAAAAACTCCTACAGATTAATAAGGGAAAGATAAATAACCCAACAGAGAAAAATAGACAAAAGCTATGAAAAGGCATTTCACAGAAGCAAAAACCCAGAGGGTCAATATCCGTATGAAAAGATTGTCAGCTTCATGAACAGTCAGGAAACAAGTGAAACACCAATGAGATCCCATTTCACTTCCATCCAATTAACAACAGAGTTCAAGATCAACATGGCCTGGTGGCAGCAGGAATGCAGAGAAATGGGAGCCTCTTATGCTGCTGGCGTGAGAGTGCACATGCAGACATCTTTAAAAAACAACCGACAATACCTGGTGAGGGGGAAGCGTCCACTTCTAGGTATCTGTCCTAAAATCACTCGCATGTGTACACAAGAAAACAGCCACAGAATGTGTGGCAGCATTGTTTATAGTCATAGGAAATTTCAAACAAGTGTACTTTGCAAATCACAGGACAATCATAAATTATTTGTGATATATTCCAATGATGGAAAACTCCACTGCAGTTGAATGAATGAAGGGAATCAAGATGCATCAAAATGAATAGAAATAAAAATATATTGTGTTGGCTAAAAGGCAAGTTACACCATCATTATATGAAAGGTTTGATGCTAATTTTGTACATTTTAATTTATATACACTATACACAGTATAAATGTTAATGTTAGACATACAGTATATAAATGTTAGCTTATGTAAATATATCATTTATTTTTGATTAATTATAATATTTAAGTGTAAAGCTTATGCAGTACATAAGCATAATTTTTATAATGTGTAATATATAAATTGTATTTATATTAAGTATAAAACTTAATTTATATACAGTATGAGTTTATGTCTTTTAAGTTTATGTGTTATGTGAATATGAATATATAATAAAACTGTGAAATACATGTAGAACAGTAACAAACTTCACCACAGTGCTTGCCTCTGAGTGAGGATTGGAACTGGGAGGGATACACAAGGAATTTTTAACTATATTTATGTTTTACTTCTTGAAAAAAAATTAATAAATCTGGGTGGCAGGCACATGGATGATTGTTATAGTTTTATTTCTAATGTTTTATTCTTTGAAGTTTTGCAGAACAAAAATATATATTAATGCCTCCAAGTTTCACTCTTGGGAGAGAAGCAAGGGCTTGGTTAATTCTGAGGGCAGCAACTGGGTGGTATCTACACCTCTGAGCCCAACACAGGATTGGCTGGGAAGGGGTCAGCGCTTGCTGGAGGAGTTTCCTGATGACCTGTCTGGTTAGGGATGTAAAGAAGACTTTCAGAACCTTCTCCAACGCAGCTGTCAGAGGAGATCCATGGCTCTTGCAGCCCGAGAAATGTCAAAGCCACCAATGCAGAAAGGATCTTTCTGAACAATAGAAGGTAATTCAAAATCCATATTAATTTGGCCTAGGAAAATGTACCTGTGCCCTCCTTAAGGCTAGGATGCCTGGTGTCCTGAGAAGTCATGTTGCAGTCAAATTCCTAAGTGGAGAGCTGGTTCAATTGAGAAGAGTTAGCAGGTGAGGCAGCTCCATGGTCGTCTTCCCCTTCAGGCTGTGCCGGTAACAGACAGCTCCATCTCTCAGGCAAAGCTACAGCAGGGTCCCTCTAGACCTGGTTCCTGGGGCCGTGGGCAGGTCAGTTGCCTCTCTGAGCTGCTATTTCTGCATCTGTGAAGTTAAGGTATTAGACATGACAATTTCGTAGTTTTATTCAGTTCCATGAAACACATGAGTGTGTACATGCATACGTCTGTGCATGTGCACACATAGATACACATGACCTCCCTCCAGAGCTGTTGTCTCCCTGTTTCATACAATTATGCTAAAATCATTCCCTTATGATTCTTGCTAATAACGTTGATAAAGGAATTTAAAATGAGCTGAATAATGAGTATTAAGGGACGGGGTAAGGGAGTCATTCAAGCACATTCATCTACGATAATACCTAAGGAAGGGTCAGCATTGATTATGCGTCAACATATAGAGAAGCCCTATCCTTTCCTAGGTCTGTGACCCTATTGTTCAGCCACTCTGTGCCTCCATTTCCTCTTGTGTTAAAGTAACGTAACATCACTCTCCTTTCATTGTTGAAGGAAGAACAAAATGAGATAATGTCTATAAAATCATTTCTACAGCCTCCAGAATAGGAAGTATTGAATATTTAGTAAATGATCATATCTATATATTTATGTCTGAGGGGGGTGTTTATCTATATGTATTCATGTCTACATGCCAGTGTTTATCTGTATATATTCATATCCATTTCTCCAAGCAGTCTCGAATTTGCCCAAGAGTATTCAGGGAAAAAAAATAATGATTAGATTTATCAAGCGAAGGTTTCCAGGCTGCCTTTCTGACTCGAGGCAAGTGAGTACTTGGCACGGTTTTTGGGTTTTCACAGCAACAGCAGTTTCAGTATCCCCATGACAGCGCCAGGGGAGGCTTCAGCATCAGTGTTCTTCTAGTTGGCTTTTTGAAATGTCTGGGCCTCCCCTGTTATGTTTATAAGATGCTCATAGGTGGTGTGATGGGAGTTGAAAAAGCCCAGGCAGGGAGATCACCTATCATTTTCCTTTCTTCACATCCTCATCGATAATCAGTAGCCACCCCAGGAGTCCTACGTGACTTCACGGAGTCCCGAAGTCCCATGAACCAGGTCCCAGACACAGACTCTTCTTTAGCCTACACCTCTCTGACCCCTCTGCCCACGGTTGATTCATTTACCCAGAGTTTTCAGTTTTACTCTTTATAAAGAAAGTCTCAGTTCCAAGTTGAGCTGTGCACCAAATGCAACATTTTATTTTTTGATAATTTAATTTCACTCCTTTATTTGACTCCTTATTCCACAAGGGTAGAAAACAGATTTCAGTGAACTTAAAAGTGTCTCTCTTCCAGGCATTTTTCCCAGCTAACTAGCCCTTAGCCTGTGTGCTCAGAGTCATATCTTATGGCACTCTCTGGGCCCTCGAGTGTATTAAGCAAAGTTCTGTTGCTTCTAGGCCAGCCTAGTTCCCAGGGACCCCTGGATTCTCATTAGTTTGTTCCCCTGCCCTGTCCCCTGCATCCTCATTCCTCTCCTGAGAGTATGCTCCCCATCAATCACTTGAAGAATCCCTGTTTCAGGCTCTAGGGAAGCCAACCTAAAATAGTACCCTTGTGAGCATTATTCTCATGTGAGATTCTCTTTAAGACCCTTTTCTTTGACTAACCATGTATCGTCCTCCCCTCTGGGTCTTGCCTTCTACAAGAGAACTCACCAAGGAGAGCAGTCTGGTCCTCTCTCCTCTTGTGTCCCAAAAGTTTATCTTGGACCTTCCTTGACCACTCTCCCTCTTCAGTCTCTAAAACTTATTTTAGAGACTCATCTTCTTTCTATGTCCCATCGCCTCCCTCTCTATTCTCTTTCCCTTGACCTGGGGTATCATTTTCCAGTCTGAAAACTGAGGAAATACTAGGAAGAAACACAATTGACTAATATTCTAAACATTTCACTCTGCCATAAATGTTATGTGTATTCATGTATGTGCCCAGGTGCATACATGTGAAAGTGGAGGAGGAGGTGGACTTTTCATCAGAGTTATTAATTCTTTTGTCACACACAGTGCTTGAGTTCCTCCTGGGTACCAGGCACCATGCTAGGCACTGGGGAGATAGAGACGAATAAGACAAGGCCTCTGCTCTTTAGTTGCTCCCAGTCTAGTGGGAGGCGGCAACCAGGAAAAAAAATAAATAAATAACTGCAATGCAATATTATAAATGCAATAAAGAGATACTCATCCATTATATACTCTGGGGAGATCAAGGAGGGAGAGAGCAAATCACTGGCAGGTAGCAGTAGTAAGAAGAGGGTGATTCAAAAGGTCTTTCCAGAAGAGATGCTGAAAAACCCACCTAACCAAAAGTATCTCATCCTTCTCCTCCTCGCAGGCATTGCCAGTCATGCTCATGAAATTCCACTGGCATTTTCCCACTAAGGTTGTTACTTAAGCAAGTCCTAAAAATAAGATGAATGGTTAACTGAGTGAAGGCATTGTGTTATCAAGAAACAGTAACACATTAGCCTACAAACAAACTAGGAAGCGTTATTTATAATTAATTCTTAATATGACCCACTTTCACGCAGTTGACTGGAAGTTTAAGGAGGGCCAGGTCCTAATTGAAGAGAAACAGAGGGAAGGCTTGAGCATGGGCATTATTTTAGGTTGGCTTCCCTAGGGCCTGTAACAGGGGTTCTTCAAGTGATTGACGGGGAGCATGCTCTCAGGAGAGGAATGAGGAATGAGGATGCAGGGGACAGGGAAGGGGAATAAACTAATAGAATAGAACAAACTAATAGAAGGTCTCAGCTGGAAACGCACTTCGGTTGGATCCGGCATTGATCTCACCATGAGCAAGAAAAGAATAGGGGAGGGGTGAGTGCAAGGCTACCTCTCAGATGAGTACGTTCTCAAGGCTGAGAGGGAAATGGCGGGTAATAGTGATTGTTACTGAAATGCCACGGGTTTGGGCTAGATCCTGTTCCTCACTGCACAGAAAGTCAATCACTGAGACAATGAGTATTGCCAGGTAAAAAGGCTTTATTCAGTTGCAGCAGCCGACTATATTGGAGATCAGTCTCTAATCCATCTCCTCAAGTGACTAAAATTAGGGGTTTATATTGCAGGGAAGAAATGTAACTGGGTGAGAAAACAGGATTTAGGGAGGGGTAAGGAAGAGGAGCTGGTCAATAGGCAGCAGGGTGTGGTTAGGCAATTAGGACAGATGAGGGTCTGGCATCTCATTGTCCAGATGTGGTGATCTGGTAAGCTTCTATTCCTTGATACTATCCGGGATGTCTGATGTTGGTTTCTTGAGAAAGGAACTCAGATAAGACAAATGTAACTTTCTCAAGTTTTAAGACTGAGAGGGTCAATTTCTATGTTTATTTTTTTTTAAACCCATAAATATCAGTTCTATGAGACACTTGGGCCAGTTTCAGAGATCAGTGGGCCCGTCAGCAGGGAATGAGCACACCAGAAGGTGTCTGTGCCAGGCACCCACAGCACCCTCTTCAGACAGGGTAGCTCCAGACAAGAACTCGGTGGGAGACCAGGAAGTTAAAAAAGAGAAGAGGCCAGAAGAGAGAAGAGAAGACTTAATGTCACGAGCACAAAGTGAATTTCTGTGCATGTATGCGTGATGACTCATCCATCAACCTGGGAGATTGTAAGGCCAATTCCTAATAGACACTGTCATTTCTCCTCTGGCAGCTCCCTGAGGGAAGAGAGTATGCCCTTCTCCTTGTCCTGCATTCCCCCAATACTCAGCATAGAAAAAGCTTAGATAAGAAAATGAACAAAGTTCTTAACAGACACCTCACCAAAGAAGGTATAACACCAATGTAAATAAGCATATGAAAATATTCTCTGTATCATATGTCATTAGGGTACTATAAATTAAAACACCAATAGGATACCACTACACACCTTTTAAAATGGCCAGCATCCAGATCACTGACAACACCAAATGCTGACGAGGACATGGAGCAACAGAAACCACCATTTATTGCTGATGTGAATGCAAAGTCGTACAGCCACTTTTGAAGAACGTTTCATGGTTTCTTGCAAAACTAAACATACCTTACCATAGAATCCAGCAGAGTGAATGCTAAGGTAAAAAATGGATTTGGGGTGGTATTAATGTGCCAATGTATGTTCACCAATTACACCAAATGTACCACTCTGGTGGGGGATGTTGATAATGAGGGAGTCTATGAATGCATGGTGCTGAAGAGCATATGGAAAGTCTCTGTACCTTCCACTCAGTTTTGCTGTGAACACAAAATTGCTCTAAAAGTCTATTAAAAATAAAGCAAAAGTTTATTAGTATTGAAATAAAAAAGAAAACCCATAGACTCAAGTAGGAGGGTTCCCTGAAGCCTGAAACTACCTTCATTCAACTGTGAGCTGCAAGATCTTAGCTCTCTATGTCACAAAGAACCATCCACAGACTCCACATCCACTCCTGGTCCTAGAGTCTCCTCTTTAATCTGCAATAATGCTGGCACAGACTGAAGCACAACCCTCACTTCCAGGTGGTTGTCTGTATGGTTTCCCCAGGAGAGCTGAGCTTGCAGAGCTGCTGAGCAACAGATCAGGCTGCCCAGTGTTTGACTGGAAAGAACCACTGCCATGTTGGGAGACTGGCTTTAGCCTTGGACTTGGCCAAGCATCACCAGAGAAAAGCTGAAGCAAATGTAGCACTCAGCTCTTCAGAATTCTCAGAGTAAAATTGATGTACACAAGAGAATCCCCAAAAATCATTAAGAACCATGGTTCACAAAATAGGCCCCACCCAGGCCTTGATGTTCCTGGAGCTAGACCAAGGTCTTTCATTCTAAAATAAAATCTCAGTCAGTTGCTAACTGAAGTAAATTGCCAAATTCAAATACATTAATGATTGAATTTTCTCTATTTATATCTTGTTTCCATTACATTTCTCTACACCTCTGTTGCCTGTCTGTTTGCTGGCAAATGCTCCTAGACAACGAAACGCATAAAGCAAGTACCAACTAGCTATTAATAGAAAACCAAGGAAATGCCAAATAAGTTTGCTTCATGCTCATTAAATGTGTAATTAGGATTCTGATTTTATATTCCATACAGAGAGTGATAAAATAATAACTACCA